ACTGTTTAAGATCTTCGACCAGTGGTCTTAGGTACATATCGATGTCGTTACCAGGTTGCTTGGGGCCTTGAATAATAATCGGCATTATTATGTACTTCCTCTTCATGCATAGCCAGGGGGGGAGGTTATAGATACACATCGTAACGGGCCAAATGCTATGGCCGCTGCTCATCTCTCCAAAAGGATCCATGCCATCCGTACTCAAACCAAACCGTATGTTTTGTGCGTCCTTTCCAAATTCTTTAAATTTTCTGTCGATGTTTCGCCACTACGAACAATCGGCGGGGTGTCTCAGCATCCCGTCCTGTTGACGCTCTTCAGCGTGCCATCGCAACATTCTAGCATTCCCCTTGTTCCTGAACAAACACCTTAGCCGTGGTATTATAGGGAAATACCACATCACCTTAGCAGGAATTCTCTTCTTTGTTAGCTGCCCGTCAACTTCTCCTGGATCATCTCGTCTAATCTTGTATCGTAGTGCTTTGCATACAGGGCATGCTTCTAGGTTCTCATACTCCTCACCGCGATATAGGATACAATCGATCGGACATGCGTGAATCTTATGAACTTCCAGTCCTAACGGGCAGACTATCTTCTTAGCCTCGTACGTTGTCTCGGGCAATTTGTTTCCCCCCGGAAGAATGTTCTTGACGAGTTTCAATAAATCGCCAAATGCCTTGTCACTAACCCTATTTTTTGCCTTCCATTGCAAGAACTCCAGAGTGGTATCCAACTTTTTGTGCCCCTGCTCGCAACCTGGGTACAACGAAGTTCTGTGGTCCTCCAACATCTTGTCCAATTTATGGGCCTCCTTTTCACTTTCGCAGTCCTCCCTGGCGTCCTGCAACATCTGACCAAGATCATCCGCAACGTCGTTACCATCAGCAGCTATTTCCTCCTCACCCGTTTGATTTTCTTCAAATCCAACATACTGAGCAAAGTCCGGAATATTGTCGTCTTCCACTTCATCTTCTTCCATTTTAACACCTTGCTCTCCGTGGGATGTCCAACAATTATAGCTTGGCATGAACCCCGACTCAATAAAGTGGAAATGAATAGTCCTGGATGCAGAATACTCCTTCTGATTCTTACACTTATTGCATGGACAACAAATAAAACCCCTTTGCCTGTTAGCTTCGGCCACTCTCAAAAAATAGTGCATGCCGTCAATAAACTCTTTGGACCGCCGGTCAGTGTACATCCATTGCCGATCCATCTACATGAGTAAAAAAAAACCGTACACAAATAATTATTCTTACAATAATGACAGTCATACAATAATTATAATTATAAGATATCTTTATTCATACAAAAATCATAAAATATTACACCAAATAATTCTTAAAAACTATTTGTAAAGTTTTAAACTAATTTTAATGTGTTTTACTTCTTTTAATTTTCATTTTAGTTTGTTTTCTATTATTTAAGATTAACTTTCACTAGAGTTTTCCTTCTCAACTATTTTATAAAACCTTGTTTAGCAAATGAACTAAATTTCTATATATTCTTTCTTCCCCACACACATTTTCTCTCTCATCAACTTACAACTAAATTTTGGAGACAAAAAAAGTGTGCAAAACATAGGTGCAAATGTAGTATGACAAAAAAAAACATTGGACGATGAAGTTGCAAACCTTTTAGGCACCTCCGATTTGTATGTAATCATCAAAATAAATTCAATAAAAATTTTGGCATGACCTCCCCTCTTTTTTGAAGAAATTTTGAAGCTTGCTCGGGCAGCTGGAGGAGGAAGAAGACATATATATAGGGGTGGGACTTTAGTCCCGATTGGTAGCACCAACCGGGGCTAAAGATCACCAGGATCTTTAGCCCCGGTTGGTAATACCAACCGGGACTAAAGTTACGACCAACCGGGACTAAAGATCCTGGGGGGCCCGACATGCCCTGACAGCATTCGAACCGGGACTAAAGATGATATTTAGTCCCGGTTGGTATTACCAACCGGGACTAAAGATCAAATATGCCCGTTACCCTTTTGAACTGGGACTAAAGATCATCTTTAGCACCGGTTTTTATTGCATCCGGGACTATTGTGGAAATCGGCCGACCGACGAAAGATGGTTTCTCCACCAGTGTGTGTTACATGAGTTTCGACTACGCGAGCTATTTTATTAAGGCAGGCCAAAATTTCGGCGCAAACACCCGTCTACGTAATTTGTGGACAAGGGATTTGATAGCAGGCCACCATGCGAAGATACATTTGAGGTTTCGCCTCTGATATAAAATTACCACAGGTGGCTTAATAAAGGTGCTCCCAACGAAGATGCATTAGAGCCGGCATCACCTTAAACTAGGGTGGATACCGAGCCGGCTTAGGATAACGAGCTGGCATCACCTCCTACCGCGCCACGGTGTTGCCGCCTACATCACCGCCAGCCAGCGTCTCCCTCCTCGTTGGCCAACAAATTCTCCTCATGGCCACCACCGTCCCTTTGTCACGGATGGAACACCAAATCCAGTGGTTAGCCATGAGGTCAACGGCGCCAGATCCGGCAGCCTCAGGTTGATGGCCACCGGATCTCCTTTGCTCCGACAGTGGGGAACAGCAGGGAGCGACGGCAGACAGCGGATAGCGCGAGCGGCAGGGGCGCAGGGCGGCGAATGGCGACATCAGAGAAGGGATCGAGGGAGTCTCACCGTTTCTTCTCTCCTTTTCTTTTTTCTTTTTTCTCTTCTTTTTTCTGTTGCCGAGCCGCAACTGTCGCCTTTATTAACTGAATATAGGATGTGCACTGTACTACCGTGGCCTAGTTGGGCTTACATGGTTTGGATAGGTGTCATCCGGGGCTGCTCGGTCTGATGTTTTCATGGCTCGTGAGCGGCTCGCGAGCCATCTCGAGCTGGCTCGTTATAGCTAACGAGCTAAAACTCTGGTTCGGCGAGCCAAGTCGAGTCGAGATAGACACGAGCCGAGCGAGCTAACAAGCCACGAGTTTTTATCCAGTCCCATCTTAAACCAGCCACCTATGAAGATCAGTTATCGTAGGCGGCGGCTTATGCTGGCTGTGGATGGATTAATACGTGACAAAGTTGGTCTGAGGAAAGACTGGGGCATTCCGTGGGGACAGAGATTAGGCTGTGTTACATTATGAAATACATGATCGATTTGGACTGCCTTATGCTGTGCATGATGGCACAAGCGGCGGGCGAAGGCTCTATTGAAAGCCAATTAGCGAATTTGATTACGCAAGAGATCGATGACGGATGAAAAGCTTTAAGAAAGAAAATACGTAATCCTTGCATGTTTTTTATACGGGTGATCTAGGAGTAATCGGGCGCATACGGGGAGGGAATCGGACTGAGATGACGTATGAAAAATAGGCAAAAATATCTTTAATTTTTATAATAGATAAAGATGTGAGATGGTGGTGATCATGAAGAAAATGGTGCGTGTAAGGGAGATGGTGGTGACGAGACTGTGGTCGAACGTGTGAGAGAGCTAGAGATGGCGATGATAACTGGTGGGTAATGGTATGATATAGGGTCCCTCTTTCCTCGAATAAATCCTCGCTTATACAGTAGGAACTGGGCCAATAATACCACTGAGTCACTAGTGAAAAACTCTTCACTAATAATTCTCTGTGGTAGTTGGCTTATCACATCATCATATGCATACTGCCGTCGGATCGATCAAATTAATCATCCGACTTGCTCAAACCAGCAACGTCCATGACATAAAAGTATATCTGAGCCATCAGCCATGTGACAAACACTGGCCTGGCTGTACTCAGAGTAGTTATATAATGCATGCCAAATCGTCTGTCCATGAAATCGCTTTTTAAAATATACTAGTATATGCTTTTGCTTTGCAACATAGCAGCCTATGTAGGAGATTGACTTGATGAACGGATTAAGAATAAATTACTGGATCCTATAGTGGTTCCGTATACAAGAAGAAGCAGAGCACGCGCGCTACAACAAAACTATTGTTTTAAGACGTTTCACTTAAGTCATTTTATAAGTCGTCTCTTTTTTATAAGAAAAATTAAAATAGGGACGATATTTGAGACGCTTTATTAGTTGAGGACATAGTTTAAGACGCTTTACAGGTTAGCACAAAACTAAATCGTTTAGAGAGGAATATTGAGACGTTTTGGAACGTCTCATGTGTAGAAATGAGTTTTGAGACGTTTTTATTATATCCGTGTCATCGTTATTAGATAATATATAATTATTTATATAGAGAAAGAAGAAAAAAACACACTGTTCCTAATCGTCATCATTAAATACCATTATAATAATATTATAATTATTTAGAAAAAAAAATGAATATTTAATATTCAGTCTCAGATTAAAAAAGAAGAGTATCTGCTATAGGACGCATGTTTGCAGAGTTGCAATATAAAAAAAACTATCTATTTACCTTTAAGATTGTTCACGTTAATGACTTGGTTAGTGCATGAACTTTGCAATCTGCAAATATTAATGCTTGATGTGCGTGCCTATATTAATGCTTCTATAAAAGCATCTCTATATTTTATAGAGATGCAATTTACATGTCTCTAGCAACGTCTTAAATAATATAGGTGCGCTTTAAAAAGCGTTTCCATAATTTTGAGACGGTGCAAACGGAGACGTTCCTACGACGATTTATAAAAGCGTCTCAGTTATCTGTAGGAGACGAGATAAAACGTCTCTATCCTACAAATAAGATGTCTCCGTTGGGTTGTTTTGTTGTAGTCGCGCACCTCCTGCGAATAGTGGAAAGGTAGTTAGGGATGGCAACGGGGCGGGGCGGGGCTGGGTTGGGCTGGAACGCCCCCGACCCTGACCCCCGACTTCACCCCCCGCCCCCGGCCCCGACCAGTGATGCGGGTTGAAAACATCCCCCGCCCCCGACCCCTGCGGGGCCCCGCAACCCGACCGGGGCCCCGCATTGGGTAGCATCTCAATCCAATCAGCTCAAAAAATACAACACAATCATCATTTCATCAAAAAGAAATATTGTACATAATTAACACACCATCAAAAATAGCATGAATACTTCAATTTCATCATAAAAATTCAGCAAGAACACATTGATGATATCCATCATTTCACACAGTTACACACTAACACACATGAGTTCAACTGTTCAAGCGAATCAAGCCTTCAAAGTTCAACAGTTGAATTGTTCAACACATCACACACAGCAAGCAAATTCAGTCTCACAGAAATATAGAAGTCTTAATATACTATTACATTGCCAACATAATAAAATATATAGGTAGATAGTTTGCAATTGCAGGCTTTCTAGCCCATCCTTCACTTATGAAATCTCCACCTCAAGCTTCAGTGACAGTAGATGCTTCCTGAAATCAAAATTAGAGGAAGCAACTAAGCATTGTATATTATAGTAATAAAAACAATAAAGTGGGAGTGTAGGACATACCGATTCTGATTCATCGTCAAGTACCGTGTTCAATGCATTGGTCTTGTTAGCAATTTCAGCTATCAACATATAATGTGATTTGCAATTAGATGAAATGGAAGAAACATGAAAGGACAAATTAAACTTGAACGATACAAAAGCAAAAATGAAATTACCTAACATATCAGCACGACCCCATGCTTGCACACACATAAGTGCCTCCACAAGATTAGGTTTAAGCTGATTACGATTTGGAGTTATCACCCTCCAACCAGTACTAAATGCTGATTCAGATGCTACTGTTGTAATAGGGATTGCCAAAATGTCCCGGGCAATCTGTCTCAAAGTTGGGTACCTAATGCCCCCAAACTTCCACCAATTGATAATATCAAAATCTTGTGTCCTAGGCAACGGTTTCTCTTCTAAATACAAATCTAACTCAGTGCGAATCTGTGAGGAAGAGGCAACAGTTTGTCCAGACATATACTGATCAAATATATCATCCACCAAATCAAATCCCCCTGGAGGGGCAACACTTGAAGAAGCATTAACTCCATCTGAAGTTCCAACACCCTCCTCAACATGTATCCTTTCTTTTGATGAGTTGCTGTCCATAAATCAGTAGTAATGGCCACACGGCTCTGAAGCTTGTGAAAATAATTACTGATAGAAATCTTGTTAACCCCAAACAAGTCAATAATATCCTTCCTAATTGTGTTTCTGGTCATAACCTTGAACAAAGGTTGCAATGCACCACAGAACCTACGAAAACCAACATGGTCTACAATAGAAAGTGGGTACTCATGGAGGCATATCATCAGTGCAAGTTCTTTCCTAGCAACCTCTTGATCAAAGACATATTTCCCTACGGTAACCCTCCCTTCTGCATCTATTCCCATCTTCAAATTGGATTGTGTTAGACCTTTTCTAGCCTGCCTAGACTTGCAAGTTTTAATATGGTCTAACAAATGTTTAGTCCCATTTCTACTTTCAGCTCCAAGCTTGTTGTGACACCATTTGCATTCAGCTTTCCACGCACCATTTATTTTCTTCTTAACAAAATCTTGCCATGCTGCAGATTTCAGTCTCTTATTATCATGTTCTACTTCTGTACCTTGTGAATCATTTATTTCGACGCTTGGAGCATTGGTTGGAGTGGGAGTGGAAGATGGTGTCAATGCAACTTGTGACTCAACGGTGGCAGCAGGGTTCGACATTCTGTCCACAAATAACATAATTCAATAATAGATCACAATCTGCTGCTATGTGCTATGTACTACCAAATCTACCAAATATACACTGAAATATACACTGAAATAGATCACAATCTTCTGTTTCATAATTTCATTCACAAATCACCAGGCACATTTGGAGTATTGGAGATGGAGCAATACCTCTCACTCTTTGTGATGTGCTGCAACCTCGCCGCCGGCCGCGCCCTGTGCGCCGCCGCCGCCGCCCTGTGCGCCGCCGGCCGCGCCCTTGCTGCCGGTGTCGCCTCCCCGCCGCGCCTGTGCGCCGCCGCCGGCCCGCCGCGGCGCCGCCCTGTGTGCCGCCGCCGCTGACTCCGGAGGGAGAGGACGAGCTCGAGCCGCCGGACGCCGGAGGGGAGACTGGAGAGGAGGGGAGAGGAGATGGTGGCCTGGCGGCTGGCAGGCGCCGGCGACGCCGAGAGGGCGAGATCCAGAGGCGAGCCGGCGAGCCGCCCACGAGCGCGCGCCGCCGCCTAGGTCACGCGGCTCACGCCACAGCCGCACGGGATGAGTGGATGACGGGAGGGGAGGGGAATGGATGTGGGGAGGAGAGAGACTGAGGGATGTGCTGCACTGCTGCAGTGCTGCTAGGGTTAAGGATTTTTTTAGTGGGCTGGGCTTTTTGGGCTTTCTTTGATCTATATTTTGAGGTCTATATGTACTCCCCGGGGCCCCGCGGGTCACCCGCAGGTGAAATCAGTCCCCCGTCCCCTCCCCGCCCAAATGCGGGGCCCCGTCCCCGACGCACCCACGGGTCAAAAATCGCCCCCGCCCCCGCCCCCGTAGGGGCGGGTCCCCGCAGGGGACCCGGCCCTGCGGGGGAAATTGCCATCCCTAAAGGTAGTGAAGAAGAATGACTACGCTTTTAAAGTAATTAATGAAGTTTAACGACGTTAACCATTTGTTTCTTTTAAGAAAACAATATAAGTGTCAGTTATTTTGTTTGGACTTGTTTTATCATTGAAGATGGGTTAAGCACAAGTTTGCACTAATTTTTTTAAGTTGACAAATGGTCACGTCGTGTCTAACAATTAATACCATGATATATTTTAAAATGAAAAACTATTGATTTAAACCATGATATATTTGCACTGATGATTGATAGGCTTTGTGGATTGCCTATCAATCATCATGTATATAGGGATATATATTGCACATAGGCCCATAGCAATTTTCCACATATTCCCCCAGTTCTTTAGCTCGGAAGGCTGATTAAACAGTTTTTAAATTTGATGGAACAGGTTACTCAAAACGTGAAATTTTTACGTAGTCACTGTTCTTGTACACTTCGTAAAAGTTTCGCATTCTCATAGTCTCCTTTCAAGAGTACAAACCATTCTAACAAAGCAACATTGAGATAATTGTTTTTTTATTTGAGGTATTTTAATTTATTCTTACATAAATAGCTATAGTCCGACACTTATTACATACTTCCACCATTTTATAATATAAGATTTTCTAGCATTACTCACATTCATATAGATGGTAAGGAATCTAGACTATATGTATGTATAGATTCATTAGCATCTATATAAATATGAAAAATGCTAAAAAGTCTTACATTGTGAAACGGAGAGAGTACTATAAAACACAAGTACAGTAACCGGTTGACTCATCCGGTCACCTCCACTTCTTTTTTTTTTCTTGAAGCATAAACTGAGGCAACAGCCTCAGCAGTACATTTATTCGATAGCAAGCAGGGTTTCCTTTACCGCCGGTAAACGTGCGGTTACCGCGGTTACCGGGCTTACCACGGGGGTACGGTAATATAAATACCGCGGTAACCTCCTTAAATTCAAATAAATTTAAAAAATAATTTGAATTTTTGATAAATTTTACACGGTTTTGTACGGTTTTTCACGGTTACCACGATTACCGCGCGGTAACCGTGCTTACCGCCGGGACACGGTAACCCTGGCCCCAGCGGTTTGGGAAACCCTGATAGCAAGTAGCAACTGAGGGTACAGTTGATTTTGCAAAGAAGCTCCCAAAAGAAGGGCATATTACACTTGAAACACAAGGAATACAAAGGACTGAAATGATAATGAAAAAGCAATCAGATCCTGGTCTTCACAGAATCCACAGCACCATGAGCCACGGTAATTAGCCAGCCGAGTTGTTACTCCTTAATGTATTTGGCTTCAGAAGCACCATGGTTGGATGAACCGATCGAAGTTGTTGCTTTCGCATTGATCCTGGAAATAATTGGATGTCCAGAACCCTCCAGCCTCTCCTTAACGATCTTGTCCAGCCTCGCTGCCATCTCTGGTGACATGTGATTGCTCCAGTCACCGGTTCCTCCCTTCCTGAAGAAGCCATCTTTGGAGATCCCTAGAAGGGTAGTTCCACTCTTGTTCACGTTCAAGTTCTTCAGGTTGTTCAAGCTGCACAGTTCTACAATTTGTTGCACGATACCGTCATCTTCTTCCTGGCGAGAGAACCCACAGCCCATGAACTCCGCCAGCGTCCTTAGGTTGCCCACAGTATCTTGCAGAAGATCCTCATACATGAGGAAAAGCACCTTCTCAGGTCTCGCCTGGCTCTCATCCCAGTACTCACCGGCATGGCACCACTGCGGGCCGACAACACACCGTCCTTCACAGAACATGTCGAACATCTCCTCGAACGTCAACCTATTCTTCTTCTCCTTCTTGTTCTGGTGCCACATGGAGACCATGGCATCCTTTGGGTCCCGGTAGATGTAGACTAGCCGACACCCCGTTTCTTGTTCCCTGATGCGATGAGGCAGCATCGAATATGGCAGGTGGGTTGAGAGCAGCCGTGGAGATGGGAGTGACTCGTACAACTCGAGCTTGGGGTAAATCTCAAGAAACCCAACAAGGTCATGGGGGTTGTGTTCGAGGAGCGGGTGATGTTCATCCGATGGTGGGTAAGTCGAACGGTTCAGGGTTGCAAAGGCGAGGGCTTTGAGCCAGGTGGTACCACACTTAGGAAAGCTTGAAAGGAGGATGTCGGATGGTCTCGGTTGAAAGCTAGTTTCAGCTGCAGCAACGCCATTGAGCATGACCTCCAATAACCAAAATCCACCATATTGTCGCAAGGGAAACTCTGTGAACCTCGTCTCTACGGGAAGAGATTCCATTATCTCAGGAATGTTGGCAAGAGTCATGTTGGAAGAGGAAGGAGATTTAGCATACAAGCTTATCAAGTGCTCCATACGGACTAAGGCTATATATATACAGAGAGTAATGATTGGTGGAAAAAAACAAATGGTTTATTGGTTTGTCATTTATCTTCAATTGTTGGGATGCCATATACAGAGAGTAATGATTGTGGAAAAAAACTTTGTCATTTATCTTTAGTTGTTGGGATGTCTTTGTCAACCGTAGTGTATATATATAGTATGGAAAAACAATTGTATAGTCTAACAACGCCTGAAACAGGTAATTAGCATACACACACTATGTTTTTCAAATGGTGGATAGTGATGACTCAATTAGCTGAGATAGAATGTCAGAAGGACTTAACATTGGCGATCATGTTGATCAGTTGGGATGTTCAGAAAGACAGGAATACATGGTTTTTCAAAAATAGATCATGCTCTATACCGGCAGTATCATGGTGCAAATAAAAGATGAGGCGAGATCATATATTCTAGTAGGGGCAAACATTCTGTCGTCCTTATGATCTAACTAGCTAGTGCCTCGTATATGTTTGATCACAACACTAAATTGTATACCCCGTGTTCTGCTTGCATGTCATATATATATGTATACGTGATATATACGTGATGACATGACTTTCAGACACAGACTTTTATGCATGTTTGGATCTCCGAGGAGTAACAACCACCGATAGAAAAATGATTTTCGACTAGGTGAGCTATTTTACTCAGCATGACTGGTCAAATTTTCGGCCGCAAACGCCCGTCTACGTAGTTGTGGACAAGGGCCACCTGGGAAGATACATTTGAAGTTTCGCCTCTAAAGATAAATTACCGTAGGTGGATTAATTGAGGTGCTCCCTACGAAGATACATTACCGCAGGCATCACCTTAAACCAGTCACCTTTGAAGATCAGTTACTGTAGGCGGCGGCTTATGGTGGCTGGCTGCATGCTAAAAAGGATCTATGATGCCTTTTTCTTTCCTCGAGAGCTGCTCATTTAGCTTGAGCTTTCTCTCTTATAAAATAAGCAATATATAGGAGGAACTTTTTGAACTCGAATATGTAGTGTCTTTTGACGTCAAAGATAATATCCATACTTTCCTACCCTGCTTTTGTAGTTTTCTAGCATTTTTATGCTTTGGATTTGATGGATCTATGTATGCTACATATGTATTTACCGTAAAAAATATGTTACATATGTATGTACACATATAAAAAATTTTCATTTTTGCTACTTAGAGCACAATTTGGATAATATTTGTTTAGGTAATCCTTGTTAAAAGGTGTGCACTAATCCCTTAGTAGTGTACATATTTTTGCATTAATATGTAGAGACGCATTATTGTGGTGCTGGACCCCTTCACTATTAATCATCTAGCTAGGCTGCCATGCATCCTACCATTTTTTTTAACATAAAGATATATTGTCTCCAATAATTGTCTTAAGAAATAGCTGTATTAAATTTATCACCACATCCCTGTCCAACATCACAATGTACCAAAATCATGATCAACTCCTAGATATCTTGCTAGCCTAAACATTTAGGCCGACATCGAAATGTCCCATTCACCTGACACAACCCGATACACACATGGCATTGAATCATAGCCTGAACTCTGGAAATTTTTATACGTAGGATCCTGCTTGCATATTATATATACGTGATGGCATGACTTTGATACACTGAGATTTTTATACGTGTTTGGATCTCATAAAGTTATAACCTCTAATAGGAAAATAATTTTTGACCGCGAGATCTATTTTTCTAAGGCAGGCCAGCAACAAACGCATGTCTATGTAGTTGTGGACGGGGGATCCTATAGCAGGCCAACTGCGAAGATATGTCTAAGGAGACACCTCTGAAGATAAATTACCATAGGTGGCCTACTTAAGGTGCCGCCTATGAAGATACATTACGATAGGTGTCACCTTAAACCGACCACCTAAGAAGATCAGATACCGCATGCGGCGTCTTAAGCTGATCACCTACTAAAATAGACCCATAAATTCTTCTTCTTTCCCTGATAGCTGTTCATTTCGCTTGAACATTCTCTATTCTAAAATAAGCAAAATATACTAGTAATGTTTTGAACTTGAAACTTTTGGTGGCTTTTGGTTTCCAAAATTACATCTATACTTTGCTACCTTGGTTATGTAGTTTTCTAGCTATGGTTCGATGTGAAGGATCTATGTAGCCATGGTTTTCTAGCTATCTTCGTTTTTGTAACTTAGAGCACAATTTGGATCACATTTGTATAGGGCATCCTTGTTGAATGTGTGCACTCATCCCTTACTAGTATAAATATGATGTTTTTATAAATAATAGGGGAGGAAAAAAAGACATAGATTGGCTTAACTTTTAATTCCAACATTTACTTAGGAGAGGAAAAAGAGAGAAATTTGATCCTTTTATAGCTAAAAATTGGTATTGATATGCAAATAAAATATTTAGCAATTTAGATAAGAGCGAGAAAAATATATATATTTCCATGGTTAATTTTAGTTATTTGTTAAATATTTATTTTTGCATTAATATACATAGACGCATTATTGTGGTGCTGGACCCCTTCAATATTAATCATGTAGGCAGCCATGCATAGCATCTTGCCAAATATTTTAATATATGGCTTGTTCAGTTTGTTGCTAAATTCAACCATATCAAATTTTCACATTGCCAATATTTAGTAAGGCAATATACTAAACGAGACGTCACCATCACAACATTTCAAATCCCCCCCAACATTTGGTAATTACAGAAACTCGTACTCATAAAACTAGTATCAAACTAAACACATCCTTCATATCTTGATCTTACCAAAATTTTAGAATTGCCAAATTTCGTCTTACCAACAAATGGTAATTTGTTTTTTAAAAAAAGATCGAAACAAGCCCATGAAAACTATGCTGTAATAATATCCTTAGAGAAATTGTTGTATTAAATAAATTTATCAGCCGCATTATCATCCAACATTATAATGTACCGATCAGGATCCACGACATATATGTAACGCCCCAAATCTCACTAGTCTAAACACTTAGGCCAACATCACAATGCCCTTTTTATCTGCGACATAAGTTCTTCATTACCGCGTGATTACCTGTGACATAAATTTTAGAATTCTTCATAAATTCTTCATTACCAACTGCTAACGATAAAATCCTTGCGGTTATGACGATCATGTTTGTCACAGTGAACATATCTTATGCCCAAGATATCCAGTTATCATTAGAATTGGCCGAGGGTGAATTTTACGATGATTTTTTTTATGAATTCATTATAGATCAATGGCATATTTCATGTTTGTCATAGGGCATCCATCCAGAAAGCCCACATCTGTTGTAGTCTCTAGATTTCCATTGCATGAACTTGTGCACCATATGCAAACAAAAGCCCAACATGCATGATAAGCTATGGCTAATCCTGGGGAGATAGATGCTAACTAGGATGCCATACATGCACATATATGAAAAGGATAAAATTTAGGCATATAAGTGTTCACTCAACTGTATAATAATACATGAGAGTTCGTACAATACTGTTGGTGTATAAAAATAAGGTATACCCTTGTGACATAGGGTAATGCTAGATATCCATATAGAACCTGTACATCTACAGGAAGACTACTCTAAGTAAAGAATCACACAAGGGGGGCCATGACCTACTTCAAAAAGGCTGCAGGAGACCTACTCGGATTCAACAAGAACTTGACAAAAAAAAAAAAACCCAAGAATATATCTACCTCTACTACAGAATTGATTTTCCTGGACACTGGCCCCGGTAGTTTCCAGGCGAACTGGCTCTGCCTAGTAAAATCCGTGGATCGGCGTCGGGCTGTCGGCCGCACTGGATAATGCATTATCCTGTGCGGGCAACATAAGCCGACCGCATGCGATGGTCGTTGGGCTATATAGCCCTCAACCCGACACAATCCCATTTTTTCCGGCGTTTTCTCTCTCCTAAACATACACAAATTAGGGGGAAGGATCTCGAATTTTTGATTGGGTTCTGTATAAAAGGTGTAGAGCTTGTTCTCCTCCTTCATTTGCTTCCATTTTTGTCAGTTTTCATCGGTGCAATGCGTAGAAATTTCCACTTTTTAAATGGAACAGTGTATGCATTTTGTGTTTTTTTATTTTTTAGCTAATATATAATGTTTCCATTACATGTTCTTAAAAGTATTTAGTACCCAAATTGAAAAGTTGGGTTTGCCTCCATTAAATTTATTTTCCTTCGGATAAAAGGATGAATTTTTTCATTGTTTAGAAATGGACAATATTTTATTAATGATTAAAAATCGTGTACGCTTGTTTAAATTGTCCGTAAAACTTTAATTTACTATTTGCTTAATTCCCTCCATTTAAATACACTCGTTTTTGAATCGGGCACAGATGTATTCATGACAAGATATATTCTAGGTCATGGATCGGGCATGGATGTACAACACAAAAAGAGCTCATCCGACGTTCTTGAAGGAAGCAGCCAAATTTGTTAAGCTGGCAAAGGCACATGCTGTGAGGCCCATGCAAAGATTGCAAGAACGAAATGTTGCTGCAAATACCGAAAGATGTATTGTCGCACATCGTAGAGCGAGGATTTAAGAAGGGTTACAAGATATGGACTCTTCATGGGGAAGTCGCCGGTCATAACAAAGAGGCTGAAGATTCCTGCTTTGATGATGCAGAAAATTTATAATCGAAGACATATCACAGGGAACGATCCTGGAATGTGGTGGCTCTGGTATAGACGATACAAATATTGATTTTGATCTGGAACATATGTTGCGTCATGTTGAACCAGAGGTCCTAACTGGTAGAAGACGAGGGTTGGACAATTAGGAAGCGCTGGAAAAAATAGTGAAGGAACTTCTTCACGACGAAGCGAAAGGATGCGACAAGAACTATATGGTGTTGCGCTCTGTGCTTGAACTTCTGTAAGGCCCCGATTTTCGTTCGGGATTAAAAATCATTAAATAATGCATTTTCTAGAAATTAAATAAATGTTAAAGCAATTTAATCAAGTGAAATAATGAGA